TTAGTACCTTCATCTAGTTTCATTATCTTTCATTAGTTTTAACATTTTGTTATTTGAAATTTTAGTTGACAAAAGTTGAAACTAGGTTTTGACTTTCGCAATGCAAAGCCTTGAGGCTTCATCTAACAACTATAATATACAGTAACTGCATAGTAATGATGTAGTAATTATGTACTGTAGCTACTAGTAAATTTAATCGTAATTATATAGTTACTTTATAGCTACTGCACATTAAGAGATTTAAGTTTCTATATAGTACTTAATATCTTTAAAAACAATACTACTTCATAATCATATATGTTTATTAAATAACTGTCTTATTAATATTAATAAAATATCTTTGCAATATTTTTAAAATTAAATAACTACCTTAATATAAGATTATAATAATTTGTTATTTAAGTTGTAATAGTATAGTTAAGTTATAGTTAAGTTATAGTTAAGATATTATTATAAGATTGTTACAATTAAACAACTAATTTGTAAAGATCATATCATAAAGATCTTTTTACTAGATTGAGATAATATTTTTACAATTTAGTTAAGACTTTATAATTATAAAGTTAATACAAAGTTGTAAAGATCTAAAAACTATATAAATTATTACTAAATTGTATATTAATTGTTACAAAATTGTTAAAATATTGCAATAATTTGGTTAATTATATTGTTATAAATTGTATTAAAATTATAACAAAGTAGTTATAATATTGTTGCAATAAAGTAACTATAAAATATTAATATTGTAATAATAAAAATTGTTAAAAAATTTTTACTAAATTGTATTTATATTATATTAAGTTTGTTACAATATTGTAACAATATTGCCAAAAATATGCAAGTTTCTGTAAAGTCTAAAATTTAATTCCTATAGATAATGAATTTTAAAAATTATATTTGTATTACAGTAACTGTTTTTTGTCGATTGGTTGGGTTTTGAGTATCTGTAATTTTAGATAGACCAAGTCAAATTTTATCTAACATTAGAAGCTTAGAGTATTTATACAAAGTGTAGTATTACACATATATAAAGAAATATAAAAAACTGATGTTGTATAAGGCTTTGGTGCAAACTGATGATAAAAACATTAGACATAGAAGGCTAAGAAACTAAGAAGACAGAAACCCATTTAGAAATTCTAAGTAAAGATGTAGCACAAACTTTCAATAGTATTGTTAGATTAATAGAAACTATAAAACACTTCTAAAGAAATTGTTGGATAAACTGGATAACAAGTATATAAGAGAAGCAAATGTACTAACTAGATTGCTAAAATAATTATAGAAAAAGGATACATAAGTATACTATACTGAATTGGTAGTCTGAAAAGTTCTATCAGTTCTAAGTAGCAGTTAGTAAGAGATAATAAAAAAGATATTAGAAAAGATAGATATCAGAGTTTAAATAAACTTTTTAAGAGTAATAGTAATTTAATAGATAACCTTGATCACAAGTGTTAGTCTTAGCTATAGCATCAAATCAGATTAGTAGTAAAAAAGAATATAGCTTGCTTTGATAGGTTTATCTCAAGAATAAAAATAGTCTAAGAATTATAATCTTATAGTTAAAGATGAAAGAATCTAAGTTTGTGATCCAGTAAAGTTAATATCAGAATCAGATCAGAAAGATTAAATAAAACATCTAAGCAGAGATATTAGATATAACAACTAGTAGGAAACCTTTAAGTAGACTTCTTAAATAGATAATATAGAAAAGTTATATATATAGCTAGTTGTACACTCATCTGATAGTTCAATATAGATATATTTATATGAATATATACTGATATAAATATTAATAAAAAGTTAAAGACCAAAAAGGTTATCTTAAAACTAAAAAAAAAAAATATTTAAAACATATTTATTAAATTTGAATTTTTTATAAATTTTTTTTTATTTTTTAATTTTTTTTTGTAAAATTAAAAGATTTAACTTATTTTTGTTAAAAGATTAATATTTGTTATTTTTTTAAATAATTATATATTATAATATAATAAATAGCAGATCAATTACACTTATATCCTAATACTTGTCCACCAATTGGACAGACTATTAGGAAAATTAACATATGGTTGACACTTTAAATTAATCATAGTACATCTTATAATCATATTTTAATATTACAAATCTAGGTAGGCCTTGACCACCATAGTCAGTTTAGGTTGTAGATAATGTTGTTTGAGCTTTAATTCTTGCATGTAGTTTTTATTTTGTATTTTACAATCTTAGTATATCTTAAATATATAGTATATTAATATGTATAACTAAAATTACTAATAAAGATATGAGCAAGGCCTTACTTTAATACCAAAAAAAAAAAAATTAATATAATAAATAAAAAATATAACAAATATATAAAAGGCTAATTATAGGTATAGCAACTTAGTGAAATAAATAAGTTGTTAACTTCAAGTAGTAGATAGATATTCAAAACCTATTGATAATAAAAATTTAAATAATTATCTATATAATATTTATATTATAACAACTGTTATTAATAATTAGATTAAAATATTTGTAATAATAATTGTATTAGTATGACTAACAGATTATAAGTTATTTGTGTAACTAATTATACAAAAAAATACAACCCAATATTAGACAATACAAATTCTAGATAAGTTCTTATAATTATTTAAATCTATTAAAATTGAAAAACAAGAAGTTTATTTAAAAAGACCAAAATAGAAAGATAGCATAGATCTTTAACAGTACTATTATAAAGACTAGATTTAGAAAATAAATATCAATGTTGAAGTATCTGAATAAATAAAAACCTTTAGATGAAAAGTACTACTAATCAGACTGCCAAAATAGATCAAAGAAAAAAACTATTAAGTTAATCTGATATACTAATAATTCTACTAAACTATTTGAATTAGGAATCTAAAAATAAGCAAAGATACACTAAAGTACTAGGAATATGCTATAAAGTAGATATTAAAGTTTGAGTAAACTCTATAAAAGCATAACAATTTAGTGACTAACTCTGACTATAAGTGTTAATTCTGTTATAACAATATCAAATTAACTGCAAAATTGAGTACAGAAGGTTTATTTTAAGGATAAAATAATCCTAAAATTAAAATAATAACCTGAGCATAACTTAATAATGTATATACAAATTGTAGATTCAGAGAATTTAAAATAAAACATTCAAGCAAGGATGTTAGATATAGCAATTGGTTAAAAAACTTTGAATAAACTTAAATAAATAATATAGAAAAGTTATACATGTAACCAATTGTATACTCTTCTTGTAGTGGTTTACAGAATCACATTACTAAAAAAGTCATTAATAAAAGTTAAAAGACCAAAAAGGTCATCTTAATAACAAAAAAAAAATTTATTTTTTTAACATAGATTATAAATTATTTGTTTTGATTTAATTGTAAAATACAATCAAATTAAATTAAATTGATTGTAATTAATACAGTCAGATCTTCCTAAATGCATGTCATTGGACCAGCTCTAGAACGTGCATTCAGAGAGAGTTGCAATTAGAGAACACTACTAAAATTACAATGTGACTATTATTATGACTTTAATAATCCAGAAATAATGAATTTGATTGACTAATAATTACGTGAATGTATTTATAGAAAAGGTTTTTATAAGTAGGCCAGAATAAAGAACGTGCATTTATCTATAAATCCTGCCATGGGCCCGGACTTATATCATGCGATGCATTTAGAAAAGGTGCATTTAGGAGGTTTGACTGAATGTCTAACTATTAATACTTGTTTATTTTTTATTTATTTTTTTTTAGTTTGGTTTGGTTTTTTTCCATTTATATCTCTATAAAAAGATATTATTAGTTTGGTAATGTCTAATTATTGAATTATTGAATATATCATTTCAGATTTGCTACCAGATATATATAAGCTGATATCAAAGTAATATATTTTTTTCTATCTATAATAAAATTAGTACAGCAATATTAATAAGATTCACCAAAGTGAAAAAAATCTTAATATTGATTTCAAAAACCAATTATATCAAGTTGATTACTTATAAAGAATTTTTAATGAACTTTATATATTATATTATATTATAAAAAGAACCTATGTATAATGATTATTTAATGCTAAATTTAAAATGATTTTAATACTTATCAGAGGTGAAATTATTCACTGGGTATGCTGTTTCTCAAAAAACGATTTTGATAATCGAAATTCGGTAGATTAAACAAAATATAACTCCAACCTTTACTTTATTTTAAGCTTAAACCCTAACCCTAAAGTTAAATTTTAACTTACAATTTGAGATAAAAATTTTCTATATAGACCATATAATATATAGTAATTAATAATGAATTTCACCTCCAGTGAATATTAAATTATTACAATTATAATTTGCATTATGTAAAAACGGACTGTTTAGTGCCTTTTGGAACACCCAGTAGTATCCCCTTACAAAATATCTTATATTTTGTGTATCCTCTCCCGTAATTAGGTGCTATACAAAAAAATTTGACGGTTTATGGAATAGTCCCCGCGTACTTAGTCAGCGCCGTACGGTATCAAAAATGAGTTTAGATTATAGGATATAGCGAACCAATCATTTATCTGTTATCTGCTTTAACAAAATTGGTTTGGAGTTTCATCCTTTTTGATTCACGAGGTCCATTCTTTTTGATTCATAAAAAAAGGCCCATTTTTTTATTAGGGTTAAATCATTAAAAAAATGGGCCTTTTTTTATGAATCAACCATGTGAATTAAAAAGGATGGGTTTGCGTATTTTAAACAAAGTAAATCAAAAGTAGATTTATAATAAAAATTTCCGAAATAACTTACAAATTAAGGAATAATTACTTTTATAAAAAATCATAAATCAGTTAGATAATGAGCAAAATTGTTTTTTATTTACTAAGTACATTGTGTAATAAATGAATAAATTAATAAATACTAACTGAACTACTTATATATAGGTAAGACTGACTATTACATTAAAAGTGTTAAGTTTATAAATAATCCTTCAAATGTGAAATGTCAGCCAATTATGCTGAATTAGTATTTGATAATGTGGATTCATCATCTGTTCGTGAAAATTCCAAATTTTGAGTAATATTCATGTTTTCACGTTTAGGATAATTGTTTACAAAACTATTATCAGACCCAAAGTCTTCCGCTTCATATGTAAACTCTTTATTATGTAATATTTCGGCATCATCTGAAATATGAAAAGTGGAGTTGAGAGAAGGATTGAAATGACGACCTATTGAAGAAGTGTCTGACCAAACTAAAAGTTGCATTTGACTAAAAGTTGCTGCATTATTGGAACGATGAAATTTAAGTGGTAATGAATACTCACTATTAAATTGATCATTATCTTCACCGTGAGGGTTCTCATTATGCAAAGATTCATCATGAGGTATTTCGTCATCATTGTTTAAATCATTATGTTCATCCAACTTTTTTGTTAATGGTTGTCGATCACCTTTACTATAATTGTCCTCGACAGACATATCTGTTATTAACGATGCGGTTGCACTAGAGAATTCAGTGATTGGATTAGCAATTTGAATTGGAGGGAGAACACTGAAAATCTCTGAAGATTCATTTGCATTCTGATATGCACAAAAAGGATCAGGTCCTTGTGTTGTCATCTAAATATTATAATGTTGATAATTAATAACCTAAAATATAATAAATGAATAAAAAGAATTATATATATAAATACATCTTCTAATATTGGGTCTGCAACACCCTTATTGGAAATTCTTTCATAAATATCTACTTCAGCCCTAACAACTGTTGAAACTTTGGAAAGAATAAAATTGAGGTTATTTTGCTCTGTATCCAAGGTTTGTCTATAATAATCTGTTTTTAATCTATCTAGATCTTCTACTTGTCGAGTCAAATCTTGAAGTGCCTTTTATAATGATAAATACAAGAATATATATAAAATATTTAATTATCTTAATTATGAATTTTAATACAGTATAAAACATTCATAAAAATATTTACCCTACGAAATTGGGAAAGGTCTATTTTATATATGGTTTTAAATTGAGCTTTAAATGCTAAATAATTATGAAGATGTAAATTATAGTAAATTGATTACCTCTTTGACGTTTACGACCGCAACGTAAATTCTCAGCTTCAGTTTCTTTGATACGTTTACTCATTTCCGATAATGACTTATCATAAGACTCCTCACTTGCAAGAACTGTTGCTTTATGAACATCAAGATTTTCTAACAAAGGAATCTCAAACTTTTTGTAAAATGCATCACTCTAATTAAAGTAAAATGCATCATCTAATTAATATAAGAAATATTGGAGACATCAAACGATGGTGAATTAATGTAGAATAACACAGAAAAAAACTAATTCGATCATTTACCAAGAGTTGTTGATGATTTGACATTAAATAGTGCAAACCAGCTGCAGCTTGTAAGGCGGGACCTGATTAAATAAATTACAGAAACAAAATCATTTTAATAAAGTAATTTTATAAAGAATTAGATAACCTTATATACATACCAGCGTCAAATGCACCTTTGCAACGAGCTAACCTTTCTAATGATTGACCAAAACCAGCAGCAGCTTGTGCTAGCGCTATCATTTGATTGCGGTATATCTTTGCAGAACTTAATAGTTGTTCATAAGCTTCAAATGAAGCACGTATGTCAGTGCGGGAAAGTATAATTGTTGGTTCTGGGATTGGCTCAGTGGTTCGTGCCGAATGAGCTATGGAATTTACCGTCCTTGCGGATAAGGTTGGTGAAGTAGGAGTCGATAATTTATACATGGGTTCAATTTATTTTAACACGGTTACTATTCTAAGGTGAAATGTCAAACATAAATTACTCGTATTTAAATAATCATTGATTAGAAACATTGTGAAATGATCAAAAAAAGCTAAGAGATGGAATTTCCATCAATCACATGTTTGACGTAATGCTCCTGAAATTGCGGAAATTACAGAATTACAGAAGATTAGATTCACGTTCTAACTCATGTACATATGCACATATATTATTTATAGGACTGTTAAAGAATTTAAAAGAATAAATATAGATTAACTTTCTTTTGATTGGTCAATTACTTACGATTGTAACATTTCACAATTTAAAAAAATAAAATTATCTTCAGAGAAAATAAAAGACCATAATTACTATTGTGTGTATAGTTTGTTTATTAAAAAACAACCAATTGTAAAGAACATAAAGAACCAGATAGTAATAAAAACACTTAAAAAAACTTTGAGATTACCATATGACACTTCTTTTTTTCTTTGTCATAGTTGTATGATAAAGAAGCTTATGAATGTAATTCGATTGGTTGATTGTCACATGTTACCAGATATAGAGTTTGGAGCCGGTTTTGTTAAAACCGGTTTTAATTATTTTAACATATGAAAATAAAACCCAACACCAAATTCTAACCATATACAACACACTCTTGTTATAAATGAATTCGAATCTTTACTAAGGTTTATAAATTGATTCCTGCCTAAAATTCATTGTGCGAAATGCAGAGTTTAAATTTCAGCCAATAAGGGTAATTATTAGATCATTTTACTGACCATAGACATAAATAATTGCATCCTATCTGTTGATTACAAACATAGTGCAGATGATATAGTGATGATTATCATATATAAATTTTGGATTTGCGTTCCATATAATATCGCCTTTAATTTCTCCCGTATACGTATTTTAACATTTCTAAATTCTATAAAAGTAAAATGTTTAATGAAAAATGTCTTTATAAAGTAATAACGTTAGAATTTTATCTCACTAATTGAAATATGTTACGGTCTACCTGAGTGTCCGCGATCTAATTTTATTTGTACATGTTTATAAAAACCCGGCCATCGATTTACTATGTAGCCTGCATTATGTTTGTATAGCAGGCACCCAGGTAGGCCGTAACATATTTCAATTAGTGAGATAAAATTCTAACGTTCATTAAACATTTTGCTTTTATAATTTAGAAATGTTAAATACGTATACGGGAGAAATTAAAGGCGATATTTATGGAACGCAGATCCAAAATTTATATATGATAATCATTACTATATCATCTGCACTATGTTCGTAAATCAACCGATAGGATACACCCCAATAATTGGTGTGGTACACTTACAAAAATTGAAAAATTAATTAGATAATCCGAATTTATACTTATTTTGATTAACAAATTAAATCAAAAATTTTCCGATTTATAATTTAACATATCAATAGAAAAGGGGCAAAAAGTTTTTACGTACGTTTTATTGACAAGCTCGTTCGGTTTCGCATCATGTGACTTATAATCACTATCTCGTCATTTAAGTGACGGGCCTGATACCTAGTATATAGTAAAAATACTATTTTAATATTCTTTAGGTATAATACATACATACTTATACGTACAGTACATAGATTTCCGGTTCTTTAATCTAAACGGGTTATCTAAACTATTAGCATCGTTACTGTATATAGGAAATTATAATAAAATTTTCAATAAAATATACAAAATGCAGAATCGTGCGACCTTGCATAATAAATAATAAGTAAATACGTACATTTAACTCATTCATTTTTTTTAGTTGAAATCACGTTTTCAAATGAGAATGATGTGAATCTTAGATATACCTAAGATATTTAAAGCTTCATTTATAGAGTCTTCTGAAAGCTTTTTAAAAACATTTACTATGATAGGCTGCAAAAGTATGTACATTGGAATAAATTTAATAAATTTCAGAAATACACGTGCCTGTAAAAGTAAATACGATTATGTAAGGTCTTTGCCTTAAAAATGACATGGAACTATGAATAAAAATTAAAATTTTTAGTCATCCAGTAATTCAATTTAAATAAACTTTTTTTTATTTTGTAAACCTATAAATAAAAAAAAGTTTATTTGAATTGAATTATTGGATGACTAAAAATTTTAATTTTTATTCATAAAATTTACATAGTCTCGTAAGGTCATTTTCTTCTCTAGACGGTGTGGAGACAATGGGACTCTTCGAAATAGCCTACTCCCAATGCCTGTACGAGCATATACAAAGTTAATAGGATTTCTGCATGGTCCAGATGAAAATTAATTTAACTTAGTATTTCGTCAGCCATTTACAAACCAAACTGGTAACATATAGGTCTACATGCTGAATTTATATAGCTATTCCCATCCAATAATTCTCTCCAAATTTCTATTTCCTTACTTGTTCCATAGTTTTTATGTGCCTTACTTGCGTTCAGCTGTGCTTAAATGTATACTGCCATTTGGTAGATCACACAGAGTTGTTCGAAATAAAAGCATGACTTTATCTTTAATGTAAGTCCCTTCACTTTGCATATTACGAACGTGCTCACATCTTTAGGTGTATGAATATAGATCTAGCTGATAAAATATACGTATAAAAAATACTAATTATTTACAATGTACTAAGAATTTGTAATTTCTTGAAAATTAATTTTTTTTATTAAAAGAAAATAATCAACCTTTTGTATATCAATAGCTTCGTTTTCTATATTGATAATAATAAATTTATCATCAGAGTTTTCTGGAATAAGCCTGGTATATATAGTCTGAATCTTCAGATAATCGATTTGCAACCTATTTATATACAAGAATTGCCTTTTAATTCGTTTGCCTCTGAATTTTTCAGATATTTGATCCTGCCATAAAATGTATGCCAAATATTGTTAATAGTAGATCGCTTCGTTGGACTTTTATCCCAGAATTTCTTTGGTCGTAGATCATTACCGATATTTGATGTCATCATCTGGCTTTCGAGTTTATTATTATTTACTGGAATTAGATTTAGTAAATAACAAATAATAAATTTGAAAGCCCGAAGCCCGTTTTTCCGAAGACTCGGTATCTGGATCTCCATCATCATAACTTAGTCATTCAAATTTTATATAAATCTGCAACGTACGCATTACATAAATCATCAATATCGATATGTTCCCACTACGTATGCAAATTTCTATAAATAAAAACTTTGATAATGGATTACTTTAAAATCACAAACTATGCTAAGCTTCCCATCTCATTTTGACTATAACCTATTCAGTATATTTTAAAACAAAATATATAATTTCTTTATTTTTTGATATATATACTGTTAACATTTATAAAAACGAAGGAATTTTATGTAATTTTAAAAAAATTAACACATTAGCTGAACTATATTTCTGCCAAAGTTTATAATAGTTTAAAAAATTGCCGTTTAAGACATCTTTAATTAATATAATCCATCAGAATCAAGTTACACCGAAACACAATTCATGATAATCATAATTTATACATTTTAAAGTACTTTTTTTGTCTCTACGAAACATGAGCAAGTTTACCAAAGTGAACTTGAAGTTTTCGTGCTGTATTTTAACAATATCAGTTGAATCCTACAACTTTGATATAACAAATATGTAGAAGTAAGTAATTACGAAATACCAAACTACAAATTTTGAACGTTTGGGTGATAAAAATCAAAGAAAAGTTGAAAGCGACGGTTCAACAAGGCTAATGTGCGTTAGACTGTTAGTTTGCTCGATCTTTTATCTAAATCTTTATAAAATAAATCTTTTAAAATATGAATAGGAACGCATACGTATAAAACTATTACAATAACATAAGTGTCGACCATGTAATGTCGAATATTAAGACTATATAATATGTGCATATACATCGGGTTTTGAATTATATTTGATATAGAATTAGACGTTTGATTATTATATATTGTAATGATTCGAAGTTTGTTTAATAAACGAAATAAAGATATATTTACTTATTGGGAAAATATGTAATTAAATTCGTTTATACCGATACCATTAATTTTGCTTCGTTTTGTATTTTTTTTAAAACTTATGATTTGATTGGCTAATTATCATATGAAAATACATGAACATTCGTGAAACATTGAACGTTCGAAATTAGCCAATAAAAATTAGCATTTTGTAATATCGATATAGATTAGATGTATAGATTCTTTCTAACTTGATTATTTAATTTGTCACACCGGAATTATTAACGGGATTCAAAGCTTCCTAATAAGCGATTATCGCTTGTTTGTTTGCAAACTAGAATTACTTTCGCTTTAAAAGTCGTGTTGGTTTGTGCCGATCTGTGAGTCCACTGAAATAAGCCAGAATGCCGTATTCAAGTCTCTTCCGATCGGAAGAGATGTCTCTCATCCAACTATATATACCACTAGAGACTGCACAACCAACCGTGGCAGAATTAGGAGAATTGGGCTTGATTCAATTTCGAGATGTATGTTTATTACGATGCTAAGAATAAATATACTTTTTTTTTTTTTGCTGATACATGTAATTCAAGGGTGTATACGTTTACGTTAATTTATATAGTTGAATCCTGACGTTAATGCGTTTCAACGCGCTTTTGTCAAGGAAATTAGGCGATTCGATGAAATGGAAAGACATCTAAGTAAGCTTGAAATTTTTATTCTTTAATAATTTCGAATGGATCAATTTGAAACTAGTTTTATATGTTGATTAGAATTTTAACAAATAGTCGATCATGATGTTTTATCTTGTATAAATATTAATTTTTTTTGAATTAACAATTTTTCTTAACTTGTTCATTCCTTCTGAAAGGATTTTTTGATGCACAACTTAAAAAATCGGATATTCCTATTCAACTACTCACTGGAGATGTACGAAATATACATGCTCGAAGTGCTCAAGAGATTGATGACCTTGAGGGAAAGATCATAGAACATGAACGGCGCATCACCAATATGAATAATTCTACAGAGACTTTACAAAAACAATATTTAGAATTAACCGAGATGAGATATGTTCTACAGGAGACTAGAATATTTTTTGACGAGGTATGATAAAAATAATCAATCTTACATTATCTTAAATTGCTTAACATATAATTAAT